ATATTCTTACCGATTCTCCAACATTACAATTTTTAAAATTTTTAAACAATAGAGCAGACTTACTTGAAACATTGTTTAATAATAACAAACATAATATACAAAAACAAAAAACACTTGAACCGCCTAAGTCTAAGAGCTTCATTACCACTACAGATCACACAAACAGTAAAAATGCAATGAATGAGATTAGCTGTCCCATGTGTAGTGATAAACATTATTTATACTTATGTCTCTCTTTTAGAAGCTTAAGCGTTGATTCACTTATAAAACAAGCTACAGCTGCTCATGTATGCCTTAACTGTTTGCGCCCAGGTCATTCCCAAAAAGGTTGCCGTTTATCTGATTGTAAGTATTGCAATATTAAGCATAATACCTTGCTACATAAGGAACCTGACGCAGAAAATGTATCATCTTCTGCCTTTGAGAACAGTGTTGCCCTTTCCACAGACATTGTTTTAGCAAACATAAATACTAATCAAGGCCATGTCTTGCTATCCACAGCACTAGTGAAGGTGAAGGATATTCATGGTCACCTACACACGGCTCGTTTGCTTCTTGACAATGGCAGCACTGCGAACTTTATAACGCAGAGCTTGTGTGGAAAGCTGAGTCTGGAAGACGTGCAACGAACTCTACAGTCTCAGGTATTAATAACCAGTCTTCTAGTACGTCAGAGTCATGTGATCTTACTATCCAATCGTACTGCGGTAGCTTTACGACCAACATAAATTGTTATGTTTTACCACAGATCTCTCAGTCGTTACCATCATGTTATATACATAATATTCATATACCGAAAGGAATACATTTAGCTGATCCTTCTTACAACGTTCTCCGCAACACCGCAGATCTTCTGGGATGTTTTAGGTTCCACCCATATTAGCTTAGGAAAAAACCAGCCAAGGCTACATGAATCAAAACTTGGTTGGATCATATCTGGCTGTATTCCTCAGCCTACTCAGGCAACATCTTCTATCTGTCATTTTACTCACACTCAAACAGATGACTCTCTTCTTACTCGCTTCTGGGAACTGGATTCTGTACCTGCGAAGTATCACATGTCTTCCGAAGAGCGACTATGTGAGCAGAGCTTTGAGGAAAATACAAGAAGACGCAAAAACGGTCAATTTATTGTAAAAATACCGTTGACAGATTCACCCAATGTGCTTGGTGACTGGCATGGTGATGGCAAAAACCGTTTTTTGTGCTTGAAACGCAGACTTGAGAAAGATTTTAATTTTAAAGAACAATATTTAGAATTCATGAAAGGGTACATTGAGTTGGCTCATATGACTGAAAACAAAATAAAAACAGTGTTCACACAACCTTCTTATTTCTTACCTCATCATGGTGTCGTACGTGAGTCAAGCACAACTACGAAATTACGCGTAGTCTTCGACGCTTCGGCTTCGAGCACCTCGGGTAAATCTTTCAACTCTATCCAAATGGTAGGCCCAACCGTACAAGATGATCTTATGTCCATCTTGCTTCGCTTTAGAGAGCATAAATATGTTGTTACAGCTGACATAGAGAAAATGTATCGTGCTGTCTTAGTCGAGCCTTCTCAACGCTCACTCCAGCAAATCGTCTTTAGGTTTGACCCCTCAGAACCACTAAAGACGTATACTCTTAATACAATTACATATGGGACTGCATCGGGGCCTTATTTAGCCACAAAATGCTTAACTTCCCTCGCTGATCAATCCCCAGATATCAACGCGAACACTACACATTGAAATAATACTAGTTTTTACGGAATTTATCGCGTATATTTAACTATTTAATACCCGACGTTTCGAGAGCTTTACAGCACCCATGGTCACGGGAAGGACTGAGATGTTCAACGTCCAGATGTCATAGTTAGCCGCGGTTACAGTTCAATCCCCAATATCAATTAGTATTATTTCAATCCCCAGATATCAATGTTCAAAATGCTATCAAGCATAATTTTTACGTTGATGATTTTTTGTACAGTGGCTCATCTGTAGAATCCGTAATAAAGACTGGCAGAGGTGTAATTAAAACCTTAGAATCTGCGAAGTTTAATCTACGTAAATGGCAGTCAAATTTCGGTGAAATTTTGGAATCAATTTCTTCCATTAAAGGCGACTCAGAAAAGACTCTAAATCTTGATCATTCGTTGAGCAAAACTTTAGGTTTATATTGGCGTACTGAGTCAGACAATCTTTTCTACACCATTAATATAAACAGCAATATAAGAATCACTAAACGCAGCATCTTGTCTCTTATTAGCCAAGTGTTTGATCCATTGGGGTTAGTAGGACCTTGCATATTACTTGTTAAAATATTGCTTCAACAATTATGGATTAATAAAAGTAACTGGGACGAAGAAGTTGGTACGGACATAAAAGAACAGTTTAAAGATGCCATGCAATCAATTTCTTCTTTAAACTCCCTTGAAATATCTCGTTGGATATGCCATATTACAACCCCTACTAAAATGGAAGTCCACGTATTCACAGATGCTTCCGAGAGCGCATATGGAGCGTGTGTCTGACATCAGGCAAACTTACTGGCCTTTAGGCGGTAGAAATCTAGCGAAGGCTATTGTTCTTGGTTGTATACGTTGTAATAAATTTAAAGCAACTTTCGTGCAGCCTGCTATGGGTGACTTACCTACCGATAGGACTCACTTAGAATTCCCATTTTGAGCACCGGAGTAGATTATTGCGGGCCTGTGCTGATAGTCAATCGTAAGGGTAGAGGCAGTACCTTAATAAAATCTTACATTTGTATTTTTTTTGTTTAGCAGTGAAGGCTGTCCACTTAGAACTCGTCACGGATCTCACGAAGGAGGCATATCTCGCAGCCTTAAGTCGGTTTGTGGCTCGACGAGGAAAGCCGCAGCGCATTTATTCAGATAACGGTACCAACTTCGTAGGTGCCTGCAATGAACTCTCTTCCTTTCTTAGGCACACGTCAGATCACATAACTTCAGACACCGCAGAAGGTATAGAATTTAAATTTATCCCAGCCTATTCTCCTCATTTTGGTGGATTGTGGGAAGCTGCCGTAAAGTCCGTCAAACATCATCTGAGACGCATTATGAGCCTCACTCACTTCACATTTGAAGAGCTTTCAACTTGTCTGACTCGGATTGAAGCTGTCCTAAATTCCAGACCTCTTACACCCTTATCATCCGATCCCACTGATCTAACATATTTAACTCCTTCCCATTTTCTTATTGGACGGACAACTACCTCAGTTCCGTATCCACAAATCGAAGACAGGCATATCCACTCACTATCTAGATTTGCGCGAGTGGAGAAGCTAAAACAACATTTTTGGAAGCGTTTTGTTAATGATTATATTCATCTCCTACAGCAAAAGAAGAAATGGCGCATCTCTTGCGGGGACCTGACTATAGGACAAATGGTTTTGGTGAAGGAAAACAATCTTCCTTCACTGTTATGGCTTCTGGGGCGCATCACTAAACTCATTCAGGGAAAGGATGGTGTTGCCAGAGTAGCTGAAGTCAAGACCAAGAAAGGGTATCTTCTTCGGGCCTATAATCGCCTCGTCACATTACCAATTGAAGCGGACTAGACCACTTCAACGCCGGGGAGCATGTTGCGTTTTATCGTAAATCGAAACGCAACAATGACAAATAGCCCGGGCCAATCAAAAAATTCGAATTAATACATATATAACGGTTCTAGACTTCTTCAAGACACGATAGCATAGTTTAACTTAAGACAGTAGTTCACCTTTTATATACATTTGTAATTGTCTTTCAATATAGAAATCTTGTTTTCATCCTTTACTTCTTGAATTATATGCATTTAATACAATTAAAGTCAAGATTTTATTTTGGGAATTCGACGACATGAATTTATTATATACATCACCCAAGAGCTCCTGCCGCATCCAGGAACAGGATCTTGGGCAAACAGTCATATCATCAAATAGTTTTTCATCGCTATCGGCGCCGATAGCCTATTTTTTACAGAAACAGAATTTTTAACAGAATCAACATCAATTTATGCCTATATGTATATATATAATAAATGTTCCCCGCTTTGGTCGAACCCTAACCTTTTATCGCTGATATTATTAGAAATAGATAGTATAGTTAGTTTTGGCTTTCATAATTTTATCCAATAATTCCGCTGTCTATTAAATTCTGAATAAACTAATGATGTCACAGATAAAATTCTCTTAAACAGATTAAGATAATATATATATATTTATAATTTATTCCAGACTAGGTTGTTCATGGAGTGTTAGTAATAAAATGAAACTCTAAGAAAAATAACTGTTTAACTTCAAGTCACGCATAGAGCTGTGCGTGTGCGCGAAAACGTCCTGATACTGATATTTTTTTTCTATATTTAACAGGGTACCAAAAGGTACTAAAATTTGGCATTGCTGAGACATCAAATTTCTATCATGGTCCAGAGAGCTATTTGAAATAAGGAGGCTGGTGTCCAGCAGCAGGACGAGACGTGCATACGCATAGCATACCCTAACAAATATTTTTCCCATTTTTATTATTAAGCCACGGACGACTAAAAAAAGTAAGGACTCCACGTTACCTACATAAAAAATGAAGCACCCCAAAACAAGCCAGCCACGTGTAAATACGAACATACACGCACACAATCACACTAAGGTAAGCCGATCGGCCGCCATTACGGTAGCGTATCAAAACTTGAAATAATGCCGTCGTCGTTATATGGTGCAAAAATAATACCACATTATCAAAAAGGTGCCCTTTACAGGTAAGCCAGTTCTTATTACATTATTTATTACGATCATTACGCACACATAAGTAGCATAAATGTTGCTTCACTTGCTATAGTATCGCGGTGCAGAGTCCTTACTTTTTTTACTGGTCCATGTATTAAGCTAACAATTTTAATCATGTACATATTTTAATTATGTATGATTTTACGTAGTAAAATAGAAACAATTCCATTTTGAAGCTTTTACACATATGAGTTTCATGAATAAAAGAAAAGAGTGTATAAAAATATATTCTATTTTGCTTTTTCAGCTACGGTCACAGCCAGACTATATAAATGAAATTGGTGGCCATGTCTTCTTATATTCAATGTTACAGTCAAACAATAAATTAACCTGTTAAGACTTTCACATTTAAGAATATACGAAGCTCCTTGACCTGGTGAAAATGTTGGTGTACCATAGCTTTGACAATCGAACATAAAATATGAACCGCCAACTACACCAAATGCCAAATTTTTCGTGGGGCTTATTAATATTCCAAGCTTTTTATTTTCGAAGAAATATTGCAACGCTTTACTTAAATTAAAACGGTCGGGATAGGTATTGTAGACGGACCCAAAAATAACGTTTTCGAATTTAACTGAAAAAGAATACGGAAACATTTCTTCGAATTTTGTATCCAAGTCATCAATAGTTATTTCGTAATTAACGTTACTCCCAACTTTAGCAACAGTTTTTGCGTGATATGTATCGCCAGCAGTTACTATGCCGTCGAGGAGGTTGCTAGTCCAAGCACTGAAATTACATACTTGAGTCAAGAAAATAGCAACGGCACATGTAGCCAAATATTGTTTCCCTCGATGGAGTCTTTCGAATCTTTTATCTAAAGGATGGATTGTTCCCCAAAGTGAATAGAGATCACCCGGAAACTCGATGTCCCAATCGTTCCACGTCGACTTTGGTGTCTTTCGTTCAAATCCCAAATCATTTGTAGGATTCATGCGCGACCATGGAATGGTCTTAATATTCAACCAGTACATTTTCTCATCAACGATAGGGCGTGATTTTTTTCGTTTCAAATATGGCCAGTTTGGATTCCTATCAGGCTTGAAAAGAGGGCTTAGACGGTAGTTTAGGGCTGAATGTTTCGGCGCAGTTTTCACCGATGTCAACTCAAATGTATAAAATTCAGGCTGATCAACAACTTTCCCTGAAATAACTTTCTTTATTCTACTATTTATGGCCTCTAATGAACGATATAGCGTCCATGTTGCCACAGACCTTGGCTTCTTCTTTTGTTTACCTTTAACAGTTTCTATATCTTCATTTTCGATATCCGGTTCCACAGGTTCCCCAGCTGGCGGTGGATATGGATCGAAAAGGTGATAATAACCTTCTGTTTGACATATGAGCATACTACATTGTGGAAACCTAATAATGACATAACGAAGTCGCCCCAATACAGCTTTCAAATATTGTTCAAGCCGTTTCTCCTGATTCTCATTAATAACAAGAATTTTCTTAATGTTTACATTGATTAATTTTCCGTCTAGTATGATGTTTTTGATTACTCTCTTTTCGCACACATTTAGATTAGTTGCATTTTCAAAAATTTCTAAACCTTTTTCAATGCACATATCAACCATGAAGTGATCCCAAGTTCTTATTGGGTGCATCGTTGCCATTAGCATCGCAATCAAACAAACGAAATGGCAAACTTTTACTTCGGAATTACTGTTTCGGTCTTTAAGACCTGTTGTACCTTCAATTCTATACAGACCGTCGACTTGTTGATAGCCAATCACTGTTTCACTCTTTTGTGCAGAAGAGTCAATTGAAGTTTTCTTATCTGATTCTTTTACAGTCGAAACAATGGACGGTTTCGATTTCTCAGATGTCGGTTGACCAGTAGAATAATCGTAGTCTTCTGGCAATTTAAATCTCGGTTCAGCTAAAAGCCGCCTCACTAAAATTCTGCTCAGAATAAACTGTTGATCATCTCTTAATCCGTCTTTGTTATAAAGCAATCTAAAAAATAAAACAGTGTTATAAAAATAAGAGTAGATAAGGTTTTTTATTTTATGAAAAAACATAGCCAAGTGTGATTCGAAACCATTGTAGGGATAATGACAGGGACATTGTACCTTCTAACGATTTGCACAAGATATTTTTTGTGCCTGAAATAATACAGCTGGAAGTGTTCGGCATCATATTAAGCAGGATTATTATTCAGGACGATTGCATTACAAGGCCAACGCATTTTTGAAACTGATTTACACCTGGATTATTTCCACCGGGATTAATGAGGTCTGGCAATTCTGGTTATTGCGTCATGTCGGTCTAAGATTTTTCTAGCATCGCCGCTTTTGTATGACTCCTCTAGTCGCTTTTGTATGACTCCTGCGTGTTGCAATTGGTAATAGACTGTTGTCACCAATACCATATGGCGCATTTTGATATGATATCACAACAAAACTGCTCGTTCAGAAGCCGCCATTAGCCCCCATAGAAGACGCCTTTAGGATATGTACAGCTATATTTGTTGTATCCGATCATGATAAAATTACTAAACATAGGATGTTACTAATCTATTTTTTGCGTTAGAAGTCATTCAAGTTATGTTTTGGATAAAACAACAAAAAAATTTAGTATCTTCTATTTATGGTTTTTTATCTTTACCTGATAACTAAATCATGTAATGTCTTAAATCGCAATAAACACGCTTTTCCCGTAGTCTTCTCATCTCTAACACCCATTGGAGTGCAGGGACTCCCATCAAACAAATAATAGAGATCGTTTCTTTTGAAAATAGCACAACTGTATGAGGGAGTTGTGATCATTCCTCTATCATATTTATCAAATAATTTTTGTGATATTACATTTTCAAGTTGCCACGTCGCGCCTTGTCCAATCACGTCGATATCCGCGTGATATGTCTGAAATTATGAGATATAAGTACATGTATAAGTTCGATTACTAGCGTTAGGATACTTTATTATTTTCCCGGTAAACGGCAGTGCGCCCACTGCTATATAACAATAAGGTTTGGAACGTACGGAGAGCTAATATTATTACAGATTATCAAACACTCTTTATTTAAAGTTGGTTTACAGTTTTAGCATAATTGCACCTATTTACGAGGGCGGCACTGAAAATTTCGGGAATCAAGGAAGTGACACAATATTACTATTTAAAAATGTATTTATTGCTTTTCGAAGTATTCTCCGCGAAATTTGACACATTTTTCCATACGATGGAACCAATCATTGAAGCAACCATTCCATTCGGAAGTTGGGGTCTCCAAAATGGCTGTTTTGTAGGCGTCCACAGCTTCTTCAAGTGATGAAAATCTCTGTCCACGCAATTTATTCTTTATTTTAGGAAAAGTATAGAAATCATTAGGGCTTAGGTCGGGGCTGTACGGCGGATGGTCTAATAATTCTATGTATTCTTGCTCTAAAAAATGGTTTTGTTCTGTGTGCGGTGTGAGAACTCGCATTGTCGTGATGGAGGATGATGCGGCGGTTGCAGTTCTCTTTACGGAGTTCAGAAACGACGTGTGGCAAACAAATGCTAGCATACCATTCTGCATTAACCGTTCTTTGTCCCTCAAGAGGAATAGTCGTAACATGGCCGGTTTTGGAGACAAACGCGGCCACCATTTTTTTTGCAACACTCCGTGAACGAACAATTTCTGTTGGCTTTAACTCATTTTCGAACACCCAAACTAGTGACTGGTTTTTTTGTTTCGGGTTCGTACGCGTATATCCAGGATTCGTCATCTGAAACGATATTGTATACAGCATTTGAGGATCCTGCGTGGAATCTTTCGAGAGTTCTGACGCACCAAGTAACGCGAGCCGCGTTTTGCTCTTCACAGAGCGAATGCGGTACACAGAGCGAATGCGGTATCCATCGGAAAAACAACTTTTTTTACACCTAATTGTTTATGCAAGTGTAGCGGCGCTGTCGTCGCGCCACAAGCGAAAACACACCGATGCCTAAATCGCGCTATCAACATTCCGAATCATAAACAGTATATATAGAACTTCTCCGAACTATCACAAGGAGTGTCGGCCGCTCCCCGGGCAGAACACCTTGCCCGGCGGGAGATCTCCCCTTTTCCTTTCCATCTACGGTCACAGTGGTGACCCCGACGTGATCTGAACACGCAACTAAACAACCTTCGGAAACTTCAAGCTTCATCATCGTCATAGAATACCCCACCCATTCGCTCCCGAGCAGATATAAACTGCAGTCTTCATATCCTGCAAGCCATCTAGCTTCACAAGGTTCATCGCAGCACTGGAATAATAATGCTTCCTGTTCCTTCAAGCTACTCTCTGCGCTATACAGTGTTCGGCACGGCTCTGAGCCTTACTGCTCGCCTCTGCTTCACGGCACTCTCGCAGATTACTTGCCTTCTTCTCGACTCACCGCAGACTACAAGGCAATCTCCTGGCACTTGCACATTCGTTGGCAACGAGGCTGCACTATCGACCTCCGGTCTGAGCAAGGGGGTGATGTAGCGGCGCTGTCGTCGCGCCACAAGCGAAACACACCGATGCCTAAATCGCGCTATCAACATTCCGAATCACAAACAGTATATATAGAACTTCTCCACACTATCACACGGAGTGTTGGCCGCTCCCCGGGCAGAACACCTTGTCCGGCGGGAGATCTCCCCTTTTCCTTCCACGGCCACACAAGATTATTTGTATTTGACTCATGCCAATGTCTAAAGTTGCCTGAATTTCGCGATATGTCACATGTCGATCTTCCTCAATCAGCTTACGCACAGCATCAACGTTTTCTTGGGTGAGTGCAGTTTTTGGATGACCTTGACGAGGATCATCACTGAGTTTGACACGTCCACGTTGAAATTTAGCAAACCAGCGATAAATTGTGGTTTTGGATGGGGCTTCATCACCAAATGCAGAAATCATCCGGTCAACACACTGTTTTTGTGTTATACCACTTGGAAAGTCATAATAAATCATCGCTCTTGAATTTTCTCAATTTTCTCAATGACTAAACAAGTTTCACAAAACCTTGTGACAAGACCGGGAATCTTTTTTTTAAATAAATAAATGGTATTCGATTTTTAAAACCAAGGAGTTTTCAATTAAAAAGATTTTAATATGACAGGAACGGTGGAAATATTCCATTCCCGATACTTTTAGTGCAGCCTAGTAAGTATAGAATTAATACGTCAACAATATAAAAACAAGGAATATTGCTTGTGATCGATGCATTGCCTATGACTAGTTCCACCCATATCACCGCTTGAAAGTATTGACACGTTTTTCAAGGGGCGACAAAAATGTATTTATTCTGCTTCTATGAAATAAGGTAATCCACTGTTGATTCGTTTTTTGTAACATCAGCGGATTTGAACGAAGTTTGTTGACGTAGTTGACTTTCTGAGGTTACTTAATCGGTGATCATCGTCCCTACTAAAACGTACCTACTTAGTGATAATACTTTTGTTATATATTTCTTTTACTTGGCCTTTTCTTTTATTTGTGAACCCATGAATGGTGTGAGAGGACAATGTTTACTTTTTTCCGGAAATGTCAACCTTATCCTACATCCTTCGGTCGACAAAGCGTCCCTTAATCAGAAGGTAAGGCCTTCTGATTAAAGGCTTTTGCGACCGAACAGTAGCGGTAAAACGGTAGACCTAACGCGAGTCGATGACGCTAAGTCCGCCGACTACACGCGCCCCAAGTTCGTAGACTCTTGACGTACATAGGTACCTATGTTGGAGCTGCATTACAAGTGCGAGGTATCGGTTCTGCGCTCACTCATCCCTTTGTCCAGCGTGGTATTTTTTATACTTTTAGTGCAGCCTATGTACCTTCTCTCGAATAAAGCTACAATAGCGGTCTTTTCACTAACGCTTTATCCTTCTGATTAAACCTAGCTAATAATTAAGGCATAATCCTTCATCCTTTTCCATGACAATCGTCGAAGGCTGATTTTGTTCATATCACACGACAGATGATTTACTTAATAATATACTAACACAATAATAACACAAATTTTATTTCGGATAACAAATGACATCTCATCATATATATAGATCATATGCTAAGGTTGAATCTGAATGACAGAGTGAGAAATTGCGTGATAAGAGATAAATGTGGTATGCAAGATGATGTGTGACCAGGATTAAGAAAGGAATTCTTCGGTGGTTTATATGGCAAATGTGAACGGCAGAGTCGGGAAGGGACGCCCTAGAAGAAAGTTTATCGACCAAATTGGCGATATTTTGAAAATGGGCCACATTAGAAGTACCCTTAACCGACAATCATGTATGCATAGATATATGGATGTAAAAGAGGCGAAAGAGGATCGTGAAGTCTGTAGTCTCTGCCTACCCCTCTGTGTGACAGGCGTGGGTGTTTATGTATGTAAATGACATCCATATCAGACAAAAAGTTAGAAAAATCACAAAATATTAATAATCATACAGCTAGGCTAGCTGGACGGAGGAGGTAAAATGACACACAAACAGGTAAGTCAGCCACACAGGACCTACTACAACTTGCCTTATAATTTATAATAGGACAGTCATATTTTCATGATTGTTTTGATAATCGCACCAATAGTAATATAATAATTAAGATACCCAAGACATCAGGAGACAAATTACGTTCGACAAATCTTTTCCAAGGAATATGATAGGAACACCAGGTCAAAGGCTCTCGACATATCTAAGAAGCATCATTATCTTAAACTTGTATCATTTTCACGAATGTATTGTAACTTAATGTTATTTTGTGCGACCGCACAGCTTTCAAATCAAATTACCTGATCACGGCTATGTCTCCTAGGTGAGCGCCCAAAACGACGTGACACGATCTATTATGATATTTTGCAAAAACACAATTCATTGATTTTCAGGTCTGGATGTGTTTTGAATATAATTGTTTTTTGACACTACATCCGAAACTGTCTCATCTTTCTCATCAGCCCGTAACTGGAGCTCTTTGCGGAGAGGATTTGCTATAATCGTCTCGCTTGATAGGCGGATCGACGATCGCAGTAACAGACGTCTGGCACCTTTAACACTGTTTCTCGTCGCCGAATTTGGTATATTACGCCTGCATAGAATTTTTTATACCGAAAACTGTCTCATCTTCCTCATCAGCCCGTAAACTGGAGCTCTTTGCTGAGAGGATTTGCCATAATCGTCTCGCTTGATAGGCGAATCGACGATCGCAGTAACAGACGTCTGATCTTTAACGCTGTTTCTCGTCGCCGAATTTGGTATATTACGCCGCATAGAATAGAATCTTTTATATCGCCATCTAAAGGGAGTAAAAAAATCTTTATAGTTTATCCCATAGTAGCCTATTTCGGTACCCACGGCAAAAATTACGATGATGGATTCTCTTACGCCGTTACCACACGGCCACAGGTAGACGAGTCGACCCTATTATGAATGATTTTATATAAAAAACATCTGATCCCTGACAGTATGGCGAGATTTTAAGTCAAAAGCTAGTTTACACCAAATAGAGGCATCGCCGGCTAATCTAAATTGGATATGCTTCAGAAAATTATTGTGGATCTTTTCAATTGACTCTATATAAATATTATATTGAGGATTCCAAACTGTTGAGCAATATTCTAATATAGAGCGGACCAACGAGTTATACAATTTCTTAAATTTACGCGAACACTGCACATTGAATAAAAATATTGCGGACGGCGAAGGGATCGCGGGGTGTCGGAACACCCCGCGCACCCCCCCCCGCACTCCGTACTGGAAAGAAGAGCGAGAAACCGCGCAGCCAATCAGCGCGCGGCCGACCCAGCGTGTTCGTGTGGAGACGTGACGCCTACGCGACCCCAGCCACAGGAATATACATGGAACGCCCGGTACTGCTCCCCTTTTCCCCCAAGGGGGGTCGCTTCCGATACGTCAAAAAGGCCCTTCAGGCCAAAGCCTCAGGTGGTGTTTAGTGGGTATGCACTTAGGTGTTTACAGTGAGTCCCACTAAGCATACCACGCAGCCGGCTGCATGGTATGCTTAGAGCATTCACCACCTCCCTCCCCCGCCTTCCGGCGGCTAGTTCTTTACCTTTCTTCTGGGCACAAAAAATAAATAAATTGTTAGTTTAGTTTCCCGCACCTTTTTTATTCGAACGTCCCTAACTTAGTTTCTCACACAGTAAATAGTAGTCTCTCTCTCATCTTAATAAATAACAGTCCACTAGCTCTCTCCGTACACTTCAAATATTCATACGGATTTTACTTCGTTTAATTAACTTATTTTTAATTCCCGACGTTTTGGGTGCTTTACAGCACCCATGGTCATGGTGGGGACTGAGATGTTTGACGTCCCAATGTCACAGCCCGGCTACCTTCAGTTTTTGAATATTAATTTTTTGGTCCGATCTACGCATCATATCATATGGCCGTCCCGAATACATAAGCTGCACTAAAAGTATCGGGAATGGAATATTTCCACTGTTCCTGTCATATTAAAATCTTTTTTATTGAAAACTCCTTGGTTTTAAAAATCAAATAACATTTATTTATTTAAAAAAAAGATTCTCGGTCTTGTCACAAGGTTTTGTCAAACTTGTTTAGTCGTTGAGAAAATGGAATTGACTCGAGAAAATTCAAGAGCGATGAATTATTATGACTTTCGAAGTGGTGTAACACAAAAACAGTGTGTTGACCGGATAATTTCTACATTTGGTGATGAAGCCCCATCCAAAACCACAATTTATCGCTGGTTTTCTGAATTTTAACGTGGACGTGTTAAGCTCAGTGATGATCCCCGTCAAGGTCGTCCAAAAACTGCAGTCACCCAAGAAAACGTTGATGCTGTGCGTAAGCTGATTGAGGAAGATCGATATGTGACATACCGCGAAATTCAGGCAACTTTAGACATTGGCACGAGTCAAATACAAATAATCTTGCATGAACAATTAGGTGTAAAAAAGTTGTTTTCCCGATGGATACCGCATTCGCTCTGTGAAGAGCAAAAAGCGGCTCGCCTTACTTGGTACGTCAGAACTCTCGAAAGATCTCATGTAGGATCCTCAAATGCTGTATACAACATCGTATCAGGTGACGAATCCTGGATATATGCGTACGAATTCGAAACAAAAAAACCAGTCACGAGTTTGGGTGTTCGAAAATGAGTTAAAGCCAACAAACATTGTTCGTTCACGGAGTGTTGCAAAAAAAATGGTGGCCACGTTTGTCTCCAAAACCGGCCATGTTACGACTATTCCTCTTGAGGGACAAAGAACGGTTAATGCAGAATGGTATGCTAGCATTTGTTTGCCACAGGTCGTTTCTGAACTCCGTAAAGAGTACTGCAACCGCCGCATCATCCTCCATCACGACAATGCGAGTTCTCACACCGCACATAGAACAAAAGACTTTTTAGAGCAAGAAAACATAGAATTATTAGACCGTCCGCCGTACAGCCCCGACCTAAGCCCTAATTATTTCTATACTTTCCCTAAAATAAAGAATACATTGCGTGGACAGAGATTTTCATCACCTGAAGAAGCTATGGACGCCTACAAAACGGCCATTTTGGAGACCCCAACTTCCGAATGGAATGTTCAAGATTGGTTCCATCGTATGGAAAAATGTGTCAAATTTCGCGGAGAATACTTCGAAAAGCAATAAATACATTTTTAAATAGTAATTATGTGTCACTTCCTTGATTCCCGAAATTTTCCGTACAACCATTATTACAAAATAAACAATACAATAAACAATATAGTACCTGGTGTCCTATTGTTATTTTTGGTATAATATGAACAGGTGCGAGCTGAAACTTTTCCTCTTTATTCTGGTGCAGCTTCTTGGCCGTATTTAAAACGAAATCCACCAATCCACCAGTCCACGTGTTGATGGTATATTTGTATGAAGTGACGATGGCCATTATAGCTGCGAAGGGCAGGACATCTTGAGCATCCGCGTCGCTTATGGCAGAGGAGCCCCTTATAATCTGTGAGCTGTCAGGTAGATCTTTAAAGTTGCTCGGTTTCACGAGTTCCTCAGACGGGGTCACTTCTAGAGGTATTTCATCTAACGGTGGAGTTAATTTTCTCCTAATCTGACGCAATTTCGAGCGCTTACGAGCATCCTCCGTGAGAAGAACTCGACGGTCTACGTCGACTGGTTCAAATGTTTGAACCTCGTCTTCTACAATCTGTATTGGCGCGAGCTGAAATTCAAATGAAAGTAAGTAGTTGAGGCGTAAGAATTAATCCAATATAATAGAAAACATCAGGAAGAATTTAAATACATTAAAGCCATAATCAAAGTGGCTGTGACACACTTACTCGCCGTTGAATAATGAATATGACAGGGAATTTTAGGACATTGAAGTCCTATAGAAGTAGTTTTACTTATTATCAATGATTATACTTATTTTTTTAACTTTTGACTTATTTTCTACTGACCCAAGATCTATAGATATTATATGATATATCTATAGATATATAACCTGAGAGACATTATATGATCTAAGAGTTACCAACGAATCAACTTATTTAAAACGTTGTGGAGTCACACTGCAGCTATATTATGCTTGTAGCACGAATGGGTCCACTAGACTGGGTTAGGACCACACTCTCACCAGTATACCAGAGTAAAAAAGCAGCTGATGCTGCTGTGTTTCGTATGGTAAGTATAGAGAATCGAAGACCCTCTTTACTGGATACGAGGTATTTCATCTTAGTCGTCAGGGGTGACAACGTATCTGCATTTTGAATCTTAATCGAGGTGTAGTACTGTATGGTGTGTGCTCGTTTGTCACCTATATTCTATAAAAATTATGAATCATGGAAATCGGTTCGCTATTGACGAAGATATCGTGTTATATACACACAAAACATAAAGTCAAATTGTGAACCTTTCCTTTTTTTTTCTGAAATCGGATTAAAATAAACATCTACTATGTATACCTAAATAACTAGGTACTATGATCATTAAAGTAATTTAAATGCGTTTTTTAGTGTTCGAGAATAAAGATTTTATAATATTGTAAGAGGCTGCGAGCAATGGAATGATGATGATTGCATAGGGCGTTATAAGTAATAAATGTACTACAGTGTTCCTTGTGGCTCAAATGCTTATAGTCAGTTACATGATAAAATAAAATAAAAGCTATGTAATACTATACCGGAACTTCTGGCTCGGGCTGTGGTGATGGTGGAGGTGGCGGTAGTGGTGGTGGTAGTTCTTCCGCTTTTCTTCTCGCTTCTTCCTCTTCTGCCTTCTTTCTTTCCTTCTCTTCTCTTTTCTTATTCGCTGTCTCTTCGTCTTCTTCTTCCTCAGTTTCTTCCTCTTCCTTTGAATTTATTAAAATATAAATATAAAATTGGTAAATTTATACAAATTTTTAGTATTATAAACTGTATTATAAGTATTATAAAAAATAATTTATATAACTAATATTACAATTCATTGCTTAGATATATGCTGGAACTGATTACTATCTACAATATGTCGTTTTTCATGTACATGTTATACACATTACACACAGTATTGCACCATTATTATATTCTCACATACCTCTTCTCCTCCTTCCGGTGGCTGAAACAGAACAAGCAAATATAAGATTTTTTTTTTATTTAACTCATAATAAAGAAATTAGTTGAATGACAATGATTCACATAATGTGTGAATGTGAATAACGAACGAGCATTATTCTTAACTACTTTGAATAAAAAAAAAACAACTTATGGAATGTTTTTAGAATATACCCAATGTTTTATTTCAAATACTTTTTTGTTTTGGGATGTTTCAAACCCATTTAAGACCAGTGGAACTGGGTTGTGAAATAAAAGTCAGAATCTTATGAAATACGAGTTCAATATTTAAACAAAGCACTAAAATCTAACTACTTACTAAGAAAATGTCAAAATTTACCATTAAATATTTTTACAGGCACAACATGTTCATACAGGTTTAAGAATATCCACTACTCCATATCATCCCGTGGATGTCGTAAGAGGCGACAGAGGGAAACTATCCATAATCCATTGCGGTTAATAAAAAAAATAATAAAAAAAGCTAATCTGCTCGCAAAGCGTGGCAACTATGGCAAATATTCCCACTATGACGCAATCTATGGGGGACGTTTACGATCAGCAATTGACTTTTAATAGGCTTTAACGGTAACGTTAAGTACCACTAAACTCACTGACGATTTTGAGTGAAATTCGATTTTATCTTTGAGCCACTATAGCACGACTATTTGTGCTATAGTGGCAATGTACCAGGAGAACGTAAGACAATAGAGATACCGGCATAGTGGGCGGCGTAGGCGGCGGCGTCGGCTCTGGGTCGGGATCGGGCTCGGGCGGCTCCCGGCTTTTGTCTCGCGGCGCTGGCCACGGTGGCACCACCTGTGTCACTGACACCGTCGGCGAGTCCAGGTTCACTGCGTGTCAAGAACAATCTAATGTAAGAGCATTAACTTATTAACGTATGCCTAATTCTATTGATGGAATAACGACGACATAAAGGACGAGTTAACAAGAAGTTAACAAGAAGGAGAGTTGTTCTCATACGTCGGTTTTTAATCAATTAACTGTCATTTCTTTATCTTACATTTTACCAGTACATTGTAACAATCCACTACCAGGCAGACCAATGCTACACTGTTGAATTGTCAAACGTACTCAAAGCTTCGAAGGTGGGCAAATTTCCCCAGATAATTATTTAATTGAATATTTTCCACCTTCGATACGTGATTTTTTTCATAGAATAAAGGTGACAAACGAGCGCACAGTCCATCTGATTGTGGTGGATGCTGTGGCCCATAGACATCTATATTCATTCTCGATTAAGAATCAAAATGCAGATGTGTCGTCACCCCTGAGGACTAAGATGGAATGCATCATTTCCAGTAAAAAAGGATCTCCAGATCTCTACGATCATCATACGAAACACAGCAGTGTTAAGCTGCTAATTTACGCTGGAATTCTGTGAGAGCGTGGTCCTTCTCCAGTCGAACCGACCCTTTAATAGCTGTTTAATAATGTAATATGTTCTACTCATATAATAATAAATATTATATATAAAATTAGCGCCTTGGTAGCACAGGGGCTATACATTCACCGTATATTTCACAGTACGCGAGCAAGCGTGTTCGATCATTGCCGATATCAATGAAATTGATAATTGCAATTTTCAGTGCTGATTTATCACTTGCTAGGCGGTGAAGGAAAACATCGCGTATTTCGTTTTTTAAGAATAACGAGCAAACAGTCCACATAATGTTAAGTGGCTACATTTATCCTGGATTGAGAATCAAAATGCAGATGCGTTGTCACGCCTGAGGACTAAGATGAATGCCTCGTCTCCAATAAAAAGGGTATCCGGTTCTGTACACTCACCATACGAAACACAGCAGCATTGAGCTGCTTATTTACGCTGCTATTCTGTGAAAACATGGTCCTTCACCGTTTGAGCCGACCCATTCGTGCTACAAGAAAGAAGGAGGAGGAAAGGTCTAAGAAATTAAAAAATAATCGAAGACATGTGAAGTGTGCCATAAAGGGGCAGCGCGACGGGCATTTCCTTGCACTAAAACCCTCTAAGAAATTAGAGTAGGCCTGTGTAGGCTGTTATTTTACTTATATATAATAATCTCTTTGCTGCATACCAATTTTTAATACTTCAGCCTCAGGTTCTGGTTTTTTATATCGTAGTGGTATTGGTGGAAGATAATCGTCTTGTATGCTATCAACTAAGGATACAATATCTCCCATTTGCTCTTCGTTTATTCGAGGCTGCTGAAACTAATGAAGGCATTAGACAAAAGAGATTATATGGAAATAATTATCCTGTATTTTATTAGTCTATGGAAAAATATCACATATTCCCATTTCAACATTTGTTTAAAAAATAACTTTCACCGAACATTCTTTGGGATTATCCTCGGGCCATAGCACCTAAGAAAGCTTGTCATGATATTCGAAAATAAAGTAATAGCGATCGTAATTATATCGACTCAACAAAATCAATATTATTATCTATTTAAACCAAACTCCTTTATCGATGTTAAATGTCGAAAAACACCAAATATCGATATTTACATTTTATTTCACTCAAATAAATAAAAAATACAAACGATGATAATGAAATGCAAATTGTGAGACTATTTTAAAGAAAAAGGAAATGAGCGTTTTTTTTTAAAGAATACCACTTGGTTACCTAGTGCTGTTAACACAACTAATACTCCCTTTATGGCGACACCGCGACACCTTCCATCGAACAGTATAAGACGATGACACCACTAAAGAAAGTGCAACTTTGATATAGGTAAATTCATGTGTTTATCTTGAATTTGCTTGTTCAAAAACACGATTGTATAATTTTGACTCGATCATAATTATTTGCGAAAATACCTCTAAAAATCACTATAGTTGAAATTACAACGAAATTACTTGATCTATGTGCTTGGGAATCGCTTAAATATATTCATAACATCAATATTCGTAATTTAATTGCTCATTGTTTGGATTACTTAAATCAATATTTTTTTAAATATTTTAAGATTCTTACAATTTCTAAGTGATCTTACTCGACGCGGGCGTTACGCAATTTTTGGAACTTACGACGGCGTTGTTTAAATTTTTATAGAAATTATGTAATGATTTCTTAAATTTACGCGAACACTGCACATTGATTAAAACTATTATTTACGAATTTTATCGCGTTTAATTACAACTTTAATTTATTTTTATTATCCCGACGTTTCGGGTGCTTTACAGCACCCATGGTCACGGGGGGACTGAGATGTTTGACGTCCCAATATCATAGTCCGGCTACCTCCAGTTTTTGAATATTAATTTTTGGTCAATTATGTAATGATTTCTTAAATTTACGCGAACACTGCACATTGATTAAAACTATTATTTACGGATTTTTCGCGTTTAATTACAACTTTAATCCGGCTACCTCCAGTTTTTGAATATTAATTTTTGGTCCGATTTACGCAAAACGAGTTTATAGTATCATGAAGTCTTGCAGTGGTACGCTTGGGTTTGAGTTTAATTTTATTAATTAAAGGATCTCAAGCAGATGGCAGCACCCACTCATCTTCTTTATTGAAATTTGGATGTTTTTTTTTTTAATTTCAATAGCCTCGCGTATCATCCTTGGTAGGAATTGGTGTTCTTTTGCGAGGATTTGTGGTTTATCAAATCTAATGTAATAGTGGGGACGATCTTGAACATGTTCGCAGACTGCAGACTTCCCGGAGCGTCGGTGCTTCACGTCAGCTATATGTTCAACATAATAACATATATCTCAGTCCCCCCCGTGACCATGGGTGCTGTAAAGCACCCGAAACGTCGGGATAATAAAAATAAATTAAAGTTGTAATTAAACGCGATAAAATCCGTAAATTCTAAATAGTATCGTAAGTTAATAATCGTAGTTTTATTCAAAGAAATTATGTATTCACTCAGATCAGTACGGCGATAGCCCAGAGTCACTTTTTCGATGTGTCGTCTTAACTACTCGAACTTGTTGATGACACGATGTTTGAACTAGAAGTGGTTCACAGCAGTAGTCGAATGGCGAGTTCAAACTCACGAATTTCGCGGTCCGTATGAATTAAACCACAGTCGCTGTTGAAAAATTCGTCTCAACTTTAAAATTATTGTTCTTGCGTTGCATTGCAGATAAACCGAATTGGAAGATACGACTTCATAGCGTTTTTTGCACGTAAACTTCATATCCTACATGCAGATAGTTTTTGCACGCCTCACAACGTAAGGGAGTGCTCTACCCTCGATATGTGGCCATATCTAAATTTCGCTACATAAAATCGTTCTTATACTTTCTGGACATCAAAACCATATTATTATTAACGTTACAATAACTACAGATATTGAATTATAAGATTAGTTTATTTCCTGATTCACTTTAGATTACATAACAAAAAAGTAATTGACAAATATATGGACTACCGTCCGTTGGTCTGTTCGTCGGTGAATCTTCACGCTTAATAGAAATGTAAGTGTGCATGTAAGCAATAGATTGAGATAAATAGTAGGTTAAACAAGATTCCATATATTCTAAGGAGGATCCCTATTGATTTTAGCTATTGAACTCAACACTGTTTAAAAGTTATTAATGAAAGTCGATCAGATTTTCTGTTTTCTTTTTAATTTTAACTTTTTAAGCGTGTTTTTAAGCACTTTTAAATTTTCCAAATTTTATAGGAAGTTCATTCAATTCCTATGATTTCTTTTTAATTTTTAGTACTCGTATTTAATTACCCTTTGACATAAATATCGATGTTTTTGTTGCATTCTTATCAGCACCATCTTAAAATTTGTTTTTAATATTTGAAATCTGCTATTTCTTTGATATCTTCTCTCTCTCTCTCTCTCTCTCTCTCTTTGAGATCTTTACCTTGTGCTCAATATATTTGTTTTGTTAATTTTGATTGAATAATAATCATTATTTTTCTCGTATTGATTTTTATGTAAATACAAGCATTTACCCTCTTTCCAACTCTTATGATGGCATTGAAACATAAGATTATGATCACATAGATAACGAATACTGAATCAACACATGCCGACAGAGTGATATCATTCCGTTTATTAAGAGTCAATATTTCTACATGTAAAAGTTATCTTAAAAGTTATAAGTAACTTACATTCATTGGATATTCATTTAAAGTCTCCGCAGGTAAGATATCATGAAAGACCTCCTTGCCATCACCATGAGCTTGATTAGTTACAACTTCTCCCCTTTTCCTTTTAACGCCAGGTAATTGTTCGTCACTTAGAGTACAAACAATTTGTTTCTGAAAATATACCAAGTTCTATAGAATAGGGACAGTCAGATCTATCACAAATACACACATGCGCACAAGCGCGCACGCACGCACGCACGCACACACACACACACACGCGCGCGCGCGCGCACCACGCACACGCACTCGCACACACACACACACACATAACGTACTGACATGTTCGACGACGATGTATTCCTTCCTCGCCGAGCACGCGGAAAATCAGCACATTAAATTGCATTTCGAATAAAATTGTATTTTCATTTCATCAGCATCAGCAAATCTTACGTATAGTAGAAAGATGTAGGTGTGAGTAATTTTTATTGCCATCATTAACTATTAATACTAAACATATCGACTTTGAACTTAGTTTATTTCGATGCCTACTGTTTACAGGGCGACGTGAATTAAATTAGATTAAAATCATCATCAAGATCAAGGGATAGCAACAGTAATAGAGCCACGGGGCAGCTTTTGCTGTCGCACGGATGGGCCGGTTCGAACCGGGGTGGTAACACATCGTCACAGAATACGAGCGCGAATTAGAGGTTTACCTCTGCGTTTCGCTTGGTAAGTGCAGGTGGTCGGAGACAATTCCTCCCCCCCCCCTAACATACTACCCTAAGAGGTTATCATCACCCCTAGTGACGGAGAATCCCTCGCTGAGGATCTACGACTAAGCTATCCTACTCTTCCTGAAAGTGGGTGGTAAGGCAGTCCCGCGTATTCTGGGAGGATACGAAATTCTGCTCGCGACTAAAACTGCTCGGGGCAAGCGAAGCAATAAGACCAAGGCAACCCCTGTCACGCTACCCGTGAACCTTTGCAACATCAGGAGACTTCATTCCAACTTTAACGCTGTCCACTACTATCTGGAGACGGCGAAGCCTTACTCTTGTAATAGTGGGGATAAGCGGTTCACTATTAACAGACTCCGAGTGGTCTAGTGGCGGAGAAATGAAACTACTATTTATGTGCAAACGACTGGTGTATCAAGTATTGAATATGGAATACGGAATATGGAATGAATTTTACGTCGACCTATATTTATATGTCCGGCTACGTCGTTAATTAACCAATAGTAACAATTTTTATTTGCCTAGCCAATTACAGTACATACATTATGACCAATAAAGATTATTTAAAATACAACTATTATGTACGTTCCATTTGCCGGCGTGAGACTCGTGTTATCTTCTCGTATCTACGTCGCTGGACTGGGCTATAAAAGTCATGCAGGTCGGCGCGCGCGTAGTCGGCGAGCGGCGGCAGCGTGGGACACAGCTCCGGAACAGCAAGAAGAAGCGAGTTGCGGCGTTGAAGAAATGGCTTCAAAATGGTCGACGTGTGAAAACGATGTGGCGCTGAATGATATTTGCGGCTGTTTCTTGTTTCTTTATTAGAACGTTAAATATATACGTCAAATTGTCTCGCATCAACATGCAGCCCGCAGTATCTCAGTAGCCGGGGATAGTTAGGAAATAAATGTTTTCTTCGCCTTCTGTGTTAGGTAGCAGCAGGGTATATATTATTTATTGCCGATTAGCCTGGCTGCTAAATCACTCTCCCCCTAGCGAAAGCGTACCGGAGGCTTGATGACTCGCCCGTGTCTCGTAATTTTTAAAATAAGTTTCATCTGGGTTGATGTAGATGATGGATTTTCAAACTTCCTGGCTGGTGGTTGTGATGAATCCTCTGAAGTATCCTCGTTAATAATAGGCAGGCTTTAGTCGGTCGATCGATATAATTGTAGATTTACTTCCGGGTATTTGTAATTTAAAGCCTTGCTATTTCGCTCTAATACTTTATACGGTCCATCGTAGGTAGGTTGATATTGTTTTTTCACTGAGTCGTTTCTTACAAAAACTTGCTTGCATGTTTTCAAATATTGATGAATGAATACTGATTTATTATTTCCGTGTGATGATGTGCATTTCGACGATAAGGCTTTGTTGATTGATTCTCGAAGTTGAGTTACAAAATCGTAATCCATTTCTTGATTGTTTAACGATGTTGAAGTGAAGAAGTCACACGGTAGTCTTATGCTGCAGCCGTAGGTTAGCTGAGCAGCGCTAAGACTAGAGTCTGCATGCGGTGTTGCTCGTAGTCAGAGTAGCACTGTAGGTAGCTCATCAATCTACTTTGTATGTTGAGATAAACGAGTTTTGAGTGCGGTCTTTAATGTACGATGCCATCGTTCGATTATTCCGTTTGATTGAGGATGGTATGCCGTTGTACGTGTCTTCTGTATTCCCATAGTTTGAAGAAGTTTGAGGAATAGGTTGCTTTCGAAGTTTCTTCCTTGATCAGTTGTGATGGTTTTAGGTGATCCGAAACGAGTAATCCAATTTTCATAAATTATCTTCGCGACGGATTCGGCTGAAGTATCATCGGTAGGTATTGCTTCTGGCCATCTTGTTCTGTCGATCATTGTTACGAGGTAACGATGTCCTGGCGGTGAAGTAGGTAATGGTCCAACGATGTCAACGTGCAGGTGTTCGAATCTCTCCGTGGGTGGAAATGTAGCTAGGCTACTTGATGTACGCCTTTGTACTTTGCATTTTTGGCATTGAATGCACTGCTTCGCCCAGTTTCCAACATCCATTTGCATTGAAGGCCAAAAGAATTTTTCAGTGATGAGTTTTCTTGTTGTTCTAACACCTGGATGACTGATGTTGTGCAGTGTATTAAAGACTTCGCGACGACGTTCTTCTGGGAGGTATGGTCGCATGGTTGACGTTGAGGCTTCACAGTAGATAGGTAGATACGTCATTGGCATTGTAACTTGCTTGATGGACAAGTTACTTTGCTTCGATAGACGTTTTAAGTTGTCGCTCTGTCGTGTGCTTCGGTGATCTTTGATAGTCGATTGATGTAGGGCACGTTATACTGTCGATTGGTATGCGACTGAGTGCGTCGGCGACTATGTTGTCCTTTCCACTGATGTGACGTATGTCGGTCGTGAATTCACTTATGAAAATAAGTTGTCTTGCTCGTCGTGGTGTTTCCGATAGTGATGGTTTCTTCGGAAGTATATATGTTAATGGCTTGAGGTCTGTAAAAACGATCAGGTTTCGACCCTCGAACGTTTTTCTGAAGTGCTTAATAGCCATGTAAATAGCGAGTAGCTCTCAGTCGAATGTACTGTAGTTACGTTGAGTATCGGAGAACTTCTTCGAAAAATAGCCATGTGGTTGCCATTTCCCATTGCTGTATAGTTGGAGTACGGCCCCTGCTGAGAGATCGGACGCGTCGCTGAAGATAGCAAGGGTTGCTTCGTGTGATGGGTGAGCGAGCAAAGCTGCATTTTGGATCGCAACTTTACAAGCTTCAAATGCCTTCGTGGCTTCATCGTTCCATCCAATTGACGTTTTATCTTTTTTCTTCGTGTTGTGAAGGCAGGCGTGAAGTGGTGCTTAGATTTCAGCGACTTTAGGTATGTGTTCTCTGTAAAAATTTATCATCCCAAGAAAACGCCTTAGTTCTTCGATAGTTTTAGGTTTCGCATAATCGATGATTGCTCTGACTTTTTCGGCAGGCGGTTTGATTCCTTCCTTGCTGACGGTGAAACCAAGAAATTGAACTTCTTGTTGGCCAAATATGCATTTCGAAGGGTTGATAGTGATTCCGTTGTCTTCTAATCGCTGTAGCACTGTGCGTAGATGAGTTTCGTGCGTTTCTTTATCAGGGCTTGCAACAAGGAGATCATCAATGAATGCGAAAACGAAATCCAGTCCATAAAGTACTTCGTGTATGAATCTTTGGAAGGTTTGACCAGCATTTTTCAATCCCGGGGTCATTCTTGGAAATTCGAATAATTCCATTGGGGTAATTAATAATTATTGCCGTCTTCTCTATGTCTTCATCGCGTACTCTTATTTGTTGGTAAGCTCGGTTGAGATCGATGGTGGAGAATATAGTCTTGTCCGACAGTTGATGAGTGAAATCCTTGACTCGCGGTATTGGGTAGCGGTCAGGAGTGGTAATAGAATTCTGTCTTCTGTAATCTCCACAAACTCGTAATTCTCCATTCTTCTTCGGTACAATGTGAAGTGGTGATGACCGAGGGCTTTTGCTTGGACAGCATATTCCTTGCTTCAATCATGTTTTCGAATTCCTTTCGAACTTGTCCGTATAGGTGTGGTGCGATTGGACGTGCATGGCAATGAAGTGGTGGTCCATTGGTTTCGATGAAATGCTCAACGTCGTTCTTCGGTGTTAATTTCATTGAAGTTAGTCTTGTGATTCCAGGGTATTCTTCGAGGATCTTGTTATACGATTGTTGAACATCTATGCTTCTTATTGTGGGCAGATTGGTTGCTTGGACGAAAGACCGAGATGCAGGATTGGTTTTCCCGTCGATGATTCTTCTATTTTTGATGTCGACGATCAACTGGTGATGTTGAAGAAAATCAGCAGCGATGATTGGTTTGCTGACTTTAGCAACAATAAATCTCCATTTGAATGGTTGGCGTAGGTTTAGTCTCGTCCAGCTCCATTGTTTTTTCTCCATATGTAGGAATCACCGTATTGTTTGCTGCATAGAGTTGATAATCCAGTGGCTTCAATTTCTGCCTTTGTTTTGGCGGTAACACTGAGATATTCGCTCCGGTGTCGATAAGGAAAGTAAGCTTGCTTTTTTTATCGGTGACGAAAAGACGGTAGGACTTTGCTGTTACGCTGGATCCCGTCGCATCGAGCGTATTAGTTAGTTTTCCGTATTCGTATTTTTCACTTTTGAATGTACACGGTGTTGTGCATTTTCTTGCCTCGAACCCGAAACGTCTATGATAGTAGCAGTAAGGGGATCTTGATGTTGAGCTTGTTAGACTTCTACTTGCAGAGCGGTTGCGACAAAAAAGTGATCTTCGGTGTTGCTGATTGCGCTGGTTGTACTGTAGCTGGTAACAGGTGTGATGCTGGGAAGTTTTGAGCGTGGCGACTTCGAATGATAGCTTCCGAATTTCTTCGAGAAGAAACTGGGTATCATTAGCCTTGGTTGAAGTGCT